CACACACACACACGCACGCACGCACGCGCGCGCACACACACATACGCGCGCACACGCACGTGCTCACACATACATGGAAACACACACACACACACACACACATACACACACCCTTGTGCAAACAAGGACACGACCAGGATGGGAGGGGGTGGGGGCTGGTCTTTTCTTAGAACGCAAAAGAGTTGAGTTTGATTCATGTTAGGGGCAGTTTACTTGGTTGATTTTTCCCTTGTCTGCGGGGCTGACCTATACCATTTGCAAGCATGGCCGAAGCAGCAGGCCTTACAAATGTCATCAACATTGTATTGATGTGGGTACAAAACTTTAAAAGCAACCATGCTCACACATACACTCGTAAAAATACACTCACACACATACTAACACACATGAACTCAAACACTTACACTCACACACATACACATTGCGCTTACACAAATACACTCACACACATACGCTCAAACAAAATACGCTCACGTGCACACGCTCACACATAATATACACTCACAAATTATAACATACACTCACAATAACATGCAGATAAAACACAGAGACAAAACAGTCTCCCGCCCTCTTTTTCTCTTCTTCAGGGGAATGTGTATCGGACAATCTAGAGTGCGCAGAGGTCACCGAATACTCCATTGAACTTTTGTACTCCAGGACTAACCCGTAATATGTTTCTACCGCCGGCAGGTCTCTGGAGTGTGAGGCATAATTTGCCGCTGGTCACAGGCAACAAAGAAAACACATAATTTCTCACTAAGAGATACGACTTTATGGATCTTGTTTGCCAGCAGCCTTTAACGCCACAGACTCGATTAGACGGATGCTTCAATGGTTTTCGACTTAAATTGTCTTGCTAGTTGTTCTCCCTTCTGTTCTTGCCGGATATTTCGGATAATAAAGGAAAAGGACAAGGGTAATAAAAGAAAAGATGGCGAAGGTCACAAAAAGGCAACAACGAAAATAACAAAATGGAATATAGGGAGGCTGAAAAAAATGAGAAGGAAAAAGGAGAAAACTATGTTCAATTTTGTGGCAGGTTCGTGTTACTATGTATTGGCATGGCGCTCCTTGATGGTTTGTGATACAGTATTGGCATGACACTACCTGGCGGTTTGTAATACACAGTATTGACGCGACACTTCTCGATGGTTTGTGTACACGGTATTGGCATGACACTCCTTGATGGTCTGTGGTACACGGTATTGGCATGACACTCCTCGGTTATTGCTGCTGTGTCATGTCCACAGGCAACATGACGGAAGCAATTTACTGAAGTGTGCAAACAAACGGGTACCCAGTTCAGGGGGCAAGGGAGACAATCATGTCAGACGTATGGGGAGGGCGATATCAATTATGAGATCAGACGACAGAATATCTCTGGGTATGCGGGTGAGTGGGTGAGTGAGTGCGTGCGTGCCAGCGTGCGTGTGTCTGTGTGTGTGTGTTTGTGTGTGTGTTTGGGTGGGTGTGGGTGTGAGCATACGAGTGTATTGTGTATTTGTGTGTATGTGTGTGTGTGTGTGTGTGTGTGTGTGTGCATG